AGGCTGATCCATCCTGGTCATCAGAGCTTCCTGTGGTGCTTCTGCTGTTGAGGTTGCTCCTGGCTGCAAACTCCTCTGCTGCCCCCAAATTTGCCCTTGGACTTTCTTACTAAAATCCTGAAAAGCTCCTCCACCACCTTCCCTTCATCCATGAGGTGGGAGACAGTGCAGAAGGATCAGATCCATTAGGAAATGATCTTGCAGAGATTTTACAAAGAGAGGATGTGGGGGCCTCATTCCACGCCATGATGTTTGTCATCTCAAACTCCACATGATGGAAGCCAGCAGCAAATTGTTTTGAGTCAGGGATGCCTTTTCCCATGGAAAAGAGGAAGGTGTGATCCCAGAGCATCACTGGATGAGTGTGATGGTCCTGCTGCAGCCTGGGATGTCTTTGGTTGAGCGTCCTCTTCCTTCTGGGATTTGAGGATAACAATGGGTTTTGCTGAATCTTCCCTTCCACACCTGGAGCAATTTCCGTGGTAAGGGATTCATCTTCATATTGGGAAGGGTTTGCTTCCAGAAAATCTTTCAGCAGAGATTTTCAGTTCTTTCTGGAGCTGCTTTGGGTTCCAAGTGTAAGTTTTTTACCCCCTGTCAGGACGTGGGATATGCTGGTGGCTCCTTCAAACGTGTCCTGATAGTCCTTAACCTTTTTTTTTTTTTTTCCCTCATGCCTGTTTGGAAAGAGCAGTTAGGTTTTATCAGAGCTTTTTGGTCTCTTCTTTGCTTTTTTCTTTGGGGTAGTCCTGCTGCATCCCTTTAATCTCTGAGGTTTTCCACAGCACTGGGGACGGTCCTGGCAGCGTATCCAAGGTTCAGCTTCTGCTCCCCAATTTGCATTCATCCCTGCTCCCGTCTCGCTTCCAAGTGCTGGAAGATCAATTTACCTGTCACTCACTGCTTCCCGTCTCACCTCCGATCGGGATTAGCTCAGCTCAGCACTGAGCCCCGATGGAAACACACAGAAAGGGTTGTGGTGGCCAAGGATTGACAATCTACTTGTGAGACCTTGTGGCACCCAGGTCATGACTAAGTTTAGCTCTTTTTCCCATTCCTGTGCCTGTACAAGAAGCTTTTCTATCCTTTATCTTTTGCCAAAAGCAGCAATAATCTCTTGGCTTTGGGAATCTGCCCTCCAGAAGTTCCCCTTGCTTATTTAACTTTCTTTTTCCCATCAGTGTTGAGCAGGATTTACTCCACCAATATTGTGGTTTCCCTAATCCATCTTGAACAGCATCATCTTCCTCTTGCCTCATGGATTTAGCATGGCAGAATCATGGTTGGAAAAGAGCTCTGAGATCATCAAGTCCAAATGTTAACCCAGCACTTCCAAGGCCACATCAACACAGCTTTTAGGGACATCTTTCACTAGATCAGGTTTCTCCAAGCCCCATCCAATCCATGGATGGGGCAGCCACAACTTCTCCGAGCAACCTGTGCCAGGGCCTCCCCACCCTCACATGAAAGAATTCCTTCCCAATATCCCATCTAACTCTGCCCTCTGGCACTGGGAAGCCATTCCCCCTTGTCCTGTCACTCCATTCGCTTGTCCAAAATAATTTCCCGTCTTTCTTTTAAGCCTCCTTTAAAATAAGGTTTCTCCAGAGCCTTCTCATGTAAAATATTCCAGGACTGAACTCTTTTTATGCCCTCCCTGCTTCAGCTTCCCCAGAGGGCCAATTCCTGATACTTCTCTCAGGAAAATAAGAAAAGAAATAAGGACCCTTGCATCCATCCCCATTCCTAAGGGATGCGTGTGCTGGTGGCTCCTGGATCCTACCTGCTTGAAGCACCCTGGTAAGAGATTTTGGCAAGAAATTCCCCATCTCAAGGTCAGCATCGGAAAAGAGAAAACAGCCTCAAGTTGTACCAGAGGAAGTTTTGTTTGGCTATTAGGAAAAATTTCTTCACTGAAGGGATGCTCAGGGAAGTGGTGGAATCATCATCCCTTGTAGGATTTAAAAGCCATGTGGATGTGGCACTTGGGGACATGGCTTGGCGGTGGCCTTGGTAGCACTGGGTTGATGACCTTAGAGGTCTTTTCCAACCTTAACAATTCTACATTTAGAGTTTGCACCAGGATTTTTTTTTTCCCTGGGAACAGGAGGCGCGAGCGGCGCCCGCGGGATTCGCGGCTCCGCAGAAAGCCCCGAGCTCAGCAGCGCGCGGCCCTGGCTGATAAATGATGCTCATATCCCATTCGAATATGATGCAAGCAGTTTTTTTGTAGTTTGTCTTCCATGGCGGTAGTAAAGTTTTTAATTAGGAAAGCTAATGAGATCGATTAGTCATTAGAAGTGACCTCTGGATCGCGGCGAGGAGTGGGGATGTGTGCGCCGGGCTGATAACGGGGGACGCTGGGGTATTGTTTGTAATAAAAGCGTGAAGTGTTTGATTTGAGTGAAATGTGCCACGGGGAATACATCACGCGGAGAGGAAAAAATTACAACCCTGGGAGCCTGTAATGAAGGGAATTAAACCAACATCCTGTCTAAATAACATGATTATCTACACAAAACCCCTCAGCTAGCAAGTAATAATAGAAAACGGAGCTCTTCGGAGAGGCTCTTTGAGGAGGTGGTTAATGCTGGAGTCGCGCATCAGGCACTTTCCAAGGAGCAGCTTCGGAATGAATACACCATCCAATTACCTCTGGGAATAGAGTTTACCAGGTGCCAGCCTGTTTTGGGGAAGGAGGAGGAGGAGGGGGATGCCTGCAATAATTTGGGACCTCTCTTTCTTGTCAGGCAGGAGTTTGATGCAGTTCTGGGTTGATTGGTGGCAGCTCGAGCTTGCGTGGGGGCAAAAAAATGTTAATTATGTATTCAGTGAATTCCCAGCTTAGTTATTCCGTGAGGTTGGAGTGGAGGAGGGAAAGGGGCAACTTGTGCAGTTGCTGGCTGGGAAGGATGTGGGATTGTGTCTCTCATTCCTTCCCCGGTGGGATGGAAGTGCTTTGGGTACATGGTTGGTGCTGTATCTGTGAAAGGTTGTGTGTGTCCATGTGCTCTGGGTGACAAAAGTGACAGAAGGCAGATTAAGGTGGGATATTAAGGAGAAATTCTTCCCTGCTAGGGTGGTGAGGCCCTGATTGCCCAGAGAAGTTTGTGGCTGCTCCATCCCTGGAAGTGTCCAAGGACAAGTTGGACAGGGTTTGGAGCAACCAGGGATAGTGGCAGGTGTCCCTGCCTGTGGCAGCGGGGGTGGAACTGAATGATTTTTAGGTCCCTTCCAACCCAAACCATTCCATGAGTCCATGATTTCAGGTCAATCCCACCATCACTGTAGCTGGGATTTCACTGTGTGTTTGGTGTTGGTCCCTGCAGGGGTTGGCACCTCTGTCCTTTTGTTGTCCACATTTTCCTGTCCTGAATACAGCTCCCTGAAGGAAAAATCTCCCAAGTTTGGTACTTGGGAGCAATTTTAATTGTAATTAGAGCTTCAGCCTTGCAGAGGCTTTAAAAGCCCACACAGAGGTTTGGTCACTGCCCTGAAGAATTTGATCTGCTACAAAAAAAAAAAAATTAAAATCCTGGGATAGGGAAAGCAATGAAATCCTGCTTGCTTTCCACATTCTTTCCTCTCTCTTTTCTTGCTTCACCTCTAAAGTGACCTCTGAAGTGTCTCACCTCTAAAGTGGCTTCAATTCCTCCAGTCATTGAATCATCAAATGGTTTCTACTGGAAGAGAACTTGGAAGATCCTTTAATACCATGTTTTATCCCATGGGTTCAGATTGTGGAATGTTGCGAGCATCATCTTTATCACAAAAAATTTGTCATTTTCCTGTCATGGCAGAGCCTGTTTTTTGCCTTTTCCCATCATCAGGGGTTATAACTTTTATGCTGAATTTGGGAATGGAAATTTGTGTTGCCTGATCCCTCCCAAAGACAACACAAGTCATCAACTTGTTGGGAATGCTCAAGAAGGAAACTATTCCCTGTGTGGAACTGTAAAGTTGTGGATTGATGTTGCCACTGTTGAAGGGAAATGGGGGAGCTGTTCCCTTGTTTCTAGGGAATGGTGTCAGCTCTAAAATGTATTTCCCTATTTTTCCTGGTTTACCTGGGAATCCACCTTATTCTCCCTCTCACAGAGATGAACATGGGGGTGGGTTTAATGTTTTCAGTGGAAATAACAATTCCACTTTTCTCCTCCCGACCTCTCTGTAATTTTAATGAGAGGATCTCCAAGAAAAACAGCCGACCCTTTAAATCAGTTATAAAACCTGGAGACCGAGGCTCAGCATGGAGTGTCAGCTTTAATTATCTGGGTAGTTACAGCTGTATGTTATAAAAGTCGGGCAATTAGGTGCATTCCTGAAAGCCTGGGGAAAAAAACGGCTTGTGGAGGAAAACCACAGTCAAACATGTTAATTGCAGAAAACATTCCGCGGAATAACCCGGGATGTAGATCATCCTGCAACATAGAGATTCCGGGAATGGGTAGGGTTGGAAGGGAGCTTAAAGCTCATCCAGTTACCTGTCCATGGAAGGGACCTTCCATTATCCCATGTTGCTCCAAGCCCTGTCCGACCTGGATTTCCACACTTCTGGGGATGAAAAACA